AAAAATATATTATTAAATTATACAGCCACCATATCTTCTAACTCGTAGGCCTATGTGTCATTGGGTCAACTGGCGGGGTAACTGTAACAGTTGTTCTGGTTATTTCATCTAGGTGTTTTTTTTCTAATACTCTATGACATAGGCCTCAAAAAGTGAAGCAAACATTATGACCGTCTCCCGAAGTTCCAGTCCACCATTCACTGTCCCCCCACCTCTCCTCTGAAGTAAATAAATATCAATGCAAGCACCCACAGGGCTTAAAATATTATTTTCTTAAATTACAGATTTCCACTAAAATACAAGAAGCTTCTGAACAGATGGCTGTTAAACATTAGACGAGACAATTTCGTAACAGCAGATATGATTATTAGGTACAAATAACAATTGGTGATATTTTTAATTTTCATTTTATTGCTGGTTTTTTTTCATACTATCTAACCCTAGTCTTCAATGTACTTGTAAGTTAGGGAGCCGCGGTTTCTCAGTGACAGAATAAAGGGATCCGGTGTTCGATCCCGAGAAAGTACCTCGGGATTTTCCAACGGAGCTTCCCCTTGTCAGTGGTGCAGACGGAGTGTCTGACAAGGTACAGTGTCTAGTCGTTCGGATGTGACGAAAAATCGGCGTGCACGTAAAAGAACCTTTAACTGGTGAAAATCGATATAAAGAGTAGGCCGTACCGCCGCTGTTCGGGCAAAATTTCCCTCATGGTGTATGCCCGTCTTCATTAGCCCGGTTGGTGCAGAATAGTAGGACGTTAAACCCTATTTCATTTCATAAATATTTTTTTCATTCTGGAAACATATTTCCTTTATTGTTGTTGTTGTTCTAAAACCATTCATTTCTCTACAGGCCATTAATTTCTCTTCACTTTTTCAGTTCCATAAATTTCTAAAAATAATTAACAAATAAATAAATACCGGTAAATAGAAATACAACATTTTACACAGGCTATTAGGGAGAAGGGTTTAATATAGGCTATGCCTGTTCCCCAATCCCTATTCAGATAGAAATCTGAATAAAAATATTGCTTATAAAAAAAAAATGTACGTTATCATTGATACGGATTCAAAATGTAATATTTCTCATTACTACCCTATGTTGTTTAATCAATTTTAGACATATTATATTCCAGTCGTATCAAACATCATTGATACCATTTTATTGATTCTGAAATTATTTGTGAAACAAAATAAGAGACGTTGGGGGAGGGGGCGTATGGGTTTTTTAGAGTGTGTTCATAGTTGAAGGCAATACTGGGTCTATTTTTAATCATCAAGGCTTTGATCCCATTAGTGATGCCAAACGGATGAATATGCGATAAGGTCAATAACAGCTGCGAATCGTTTTCTGCACCTCATAAAAAAACCTCTCCTGCAACTATTGGGGTGGCGTGCTACACTGATGCGACGATTTTGAAGAATGTGGCCCGATTTGATTCTTTCTACAATCCACTTCCCAACCTGTAATAAAACAAATGTGAAATCTTCTGAAATCACTTCTAAACTATCGCTTCAGTCATCTATAAATATTGGTAGGTGTCGTACGAGGTAATGTATGCTTAATTGTTCGATACCTCCGAAACCACTTTATATTCAAGGAATTAACATAGCTAACTCACTCTGGTCCTGTTATTGTAAATCTAGATTTTTTGAATACAATACCAAATATAATTCACTTTTGGACGCAGAATGTTTCATTATTTTGAGAAAATAAATAATTGATCAGCGTTTTTCTATCATCTCTTTTGCACGAGTCTTATTTATATTTATCTAATCTGTTACTTGTATTACTTATATGAAATAAATGAGTACAGCTGTATTTTTGTGATTTGTAGAAAGAGACTAAGCCGACAAGTCGACGTTACGACAAAAATAACACGATGATACGACAGAGTAAAGTGCCGTGTGATTGCGTCAATACTGTCGTGATGTCGCGTTATGAAAAGGGCGAGATTTAACATGGCCACTATCAGCCACCATATCCCACGCCACCTCTGACATTTATGCAATTTAAAAAGCGTGTGTATCAGCAACCCTTTTGGAAATCCTGCATACTCAGACGGGGTTGTTATTTCAGATTAACCTTATTTTATGGAAATGCCTGATATAAATGGGTTGTTGCTCCATTGTCTAAAACTCTCTTGTTACCAGGTAAATACATAACTCGTGTTTTATGTACACACGCATAATCTGTTTTGGTCAACCTAGATTATACAAGATGGTAGGGTATACACCGACTGTAGATACACCAGGAAAAGGCTACCAGAACACTGTTCTGTGTACACCACAGAACTGATGGCCATCAAAACTGCACTGGAATGGCTAGCTACTCAAACACACCAAAAAGCCGTAATCCTGTCCGACTCCCCAAGTAGCATCAAATCTATAGAATCAAACTCCTCAAAACACGGGCAGATCATAATCCAGCAAGTCAGGGACCACATTCAAAAAATTAAAGACAAATGGGAGGGGGTGATCCTTGCATGGATCCCTTCTCATGTCAATATCTTCGGCAATGAGGAAGCTGACAAGCTGGCGAAGGAGGGTTTGTCACTAAATGAAATAGACAATTTACAATATAGCAGTCAGGAATTTGCAAGCATAGCAATTCACATCTACTAATCGACTGCAATCAACTAAAGAAAGAACGCCAATCAATGATTGACAAATTGATAGGAAGGTGAAGAACACTCTGTCTCAATTCTTTCCTTTCTCCACCGCCAGACGATAGATATTGGACATATCAGCTCGTCTGGGATTTCATTGAGGATATAGGTATGACCAAACACATATAACGATAAAACTAATCAATTAAAATACACTCAGTAGGGCGGAGCGCTAAAAGGTCCCCTAAAGGGTAACGCCAACCGCCCTACACTACTAATAAAACTTTAATAAAACAAATATAATGATATCCGTAAGCCACAGAGCAGGGCGGGACGCAAAAAGGTCCCCACGAGGGAAACGTTCCGCCCTGCGCAAACCAATTAAATTAACCTAAGCAGGGTGGTGTGCAATAATGTCCCCAAAAGAGGGTAACGCAAACCACCTTGCACCCCATATTTGAAATAAAGAACTTTTTTTTAAACTATTTTTATACGCCCACATATTGTCGTATATTGCCGTCGCCCCCGCCCGTCCTTCCGTCTGTCGGTCCGTCCGTCCGTCCGTCCGTCCGTCGTCCACAATTTCTTGTGAACACATACAACATTTATCATCTGTTTGTTTTGAAATTGATATATGTTGTTTGCATTAGTGAGATAAAGAAGCCTATTTAATTTCAATAAATTCCGTTAATTTCTTCTGGGGTTATGACCCTTGTTTCACTTTGTTGCACCTTGTGAACGCTCTAACAACAAAAGTTATGAACCGATCTGTATGAAATTTATATGCATCATTTAAATTAGTAAAACAAAGAAGCCGATTGAATTTCAGCGATTTCCGTTGATTACATCTAGAGTTATGGCCCTTATTTCACTTTGTTGAATCTTGTGAACGCTCTAATGACAACAGTTATCATTCGATCTGTTTGAAATTGATATGCATCATTTAAATTAGTGAAACGAAGAAGCCTATTGAATTTCAGCAATTTCCGTTAATTACGCCGTGAGTTATGGCCCTTGTTTCACTTTGTTGTACCTTGTGAACGTTCGAACGACAAAAGTTATCATCCGATCTGTATGAAATTTATATGCATTATTTGAATTAGTAAAACTGTTTAATTTCAACAATTTCAGTAGATTACTTCCAGAGTTACGGCCCTTGTTTTAGTTTTTAGAACCTTGTGAACCCTCAAACGACAAAAATTATAATGTCATCTGTATGAAATTGTCTATTAAATCCCCCTAATTACCTACAAAAGAATAAATATGCGACAACCCTTGTCGACTGTCGGACGATTTAGCTGCTGTGGGCGTATGTTTTGTTGCCTGGCAACCTATCTTTATTTACACGATCGACCGTATGAATTTACGATTAAGAATGCCATATTGAATTTATTACTTTACTTTACTTTACCCTATTTTAATTTTATTTTTACTTTACTTTACCTCTTTCTTCTTTCTCTCTTTTCTGGTGCTGGATTCTTCCTTCAGAGAACCAATAAACAAAAGGAACGAATAACAAAATAAAGACGAAATCAACCACCATACCAGACAACAAAACCAAATGGAAGGAAGAATGGACCAGGCCATACACTCACCAACAAGCCCCAAGGAATAGTTGCGCCGCCCTTCCATTCAACCGGACAAATCGACCAGACCGACGAAAACGACCCAAATATATATATATATATGTACATACCATGTCTAAATGTTCGTCCAAATTCGTGTCTGCTTTGTCAAATGTCCGTATTGCCTGCATGTGTGTAAATGTTTGTGCTTGTCTAAATGTTCGTCCATATTCATGTCTGTTTTGTCACAAATTCGTCTGTTGTCAATGTCTACTGGCACTTGTTTATTCTTTGCACCTGTTATCTCATGTCTCGTCCTGTTATCTATTGTCTTCTGTACATATATATAAAAACCTAATTATCCCTTTTCCACTATTTACATTGTAAATATTTCACTATGTATATATAACATGTAATTGTCTGCGATATCACCTCGGTGGAAGCGGACGTTAAATAAAGCTATTTCACACACACACCATTCAGAGCATATCTTCATCTGTCCTGTAAAGTTTTATTATTGGCATCTTTGTTTTGATTAGCAGAAATTTGATTACGTATTCTTACTTTAAAAAGTGTTGCTTTCATGTTTTGTTTATTAATCTGTCGTGCTTTTTTAAACAAAATAATCAAATCTTTCATGGAAATATAAACTGCGCTTTATAAGTTGAACAAATTTATTGGGAACAAATAAGATCAAATAATTGTCGTACTGAAAAATTGTCCACAGTGAAAATAGTACCTCCAATTTATCTCCCCGCTTATAGTGTTTACCTATCAAATATCACACAAAGGGTAGCCTCGACCTGGTATTGTAACCACACCTACTTTCTTATACAGGTGTGTAGATATATACATATACTATAAAGAAGAAAATATATCTCTCGTCTTTATAATTCAAGGTATATATATTACTATATAGTATGTGATTTACAAGGACTATATCCGTTCACTATGCTACTATAACTGACCCATACAGGTAAGAATACCTTCACACTTTTTACAGTTGAATATCTTAGTAAAGATGTTGACAATTAAATATCACTTTAACACTGCTATTTGAAACCATTTTAAGCAACTCTTATCGTGGTTAGAAATTTTACCTTTGGCTACAAGTGGGCGGAAAGTGTGATGGCGATGAGTACGCATGTATTATTTTTCAATTTTAAAATGGCTTTTTAGGCCTAATGTCGTTTGTTTCAGTATTTCTATTTATTGAGCAAATTACACCCCCCCCCCCCCACACACAGAACGAACGTCGAACACTACTCCAACGACAGTTGAAGTCTTTTAAAGAAATATCAGTTTACATTTATATAGGCCATCCATAATACATATATATATTAATATTATCCGCAATAATGAAAGCATTGTATACACCCCTACACATTTTGTTATTTGTGTCAAAATAATGCCACACATGAAACCAAACACAGACACAAGATTTATACAGGAATATTATTACAAATTGAATCGTTAATGACATTTTAATTCCCTATGGAAAAATGCTTGAAGGATATTCTTCAAGAACAGATCCAGAACAGGCTTTAGGTCTTTATGAACTTCAGTTGTTCCATCAAGTAAATAAGATCTCCACAATTAATTAGTGATTACTTCTGAAAGATAAAAAAATATGTTTCCGTATTTTGCAACGAATAGGACAAGTTAAACATTTATAAAAGATGGGTGTTATTTTGTTGGGTATCGTCCAAATTTGTTTTATCTAGACCCTATATTAGACTTTTTACATCTACACAGAACAATTTCTTGGCCCCGATATCCTTATAACCATATAATATTATCACCAGTTTATTGTAAACCTAACGATGATGTAGCTTAATTATTTTGATAAAAAGAAATCTTTTAAATCTATTAATAAAGTGTATTTTTGATATTTTTACTTGGGTGAACACACAACTAACCTTCAGAACGTGTTATGGTGTTCTATTATACGATAATATAAAATACAGTAGCGGAAACAGACTTTTAAAATTACAAATAATTATTTTAGTTTTATATCTATTTGTGTGACATTATAAATTTTAATAACATAGTTACTGTCCTTTTTACTGCGATGAGAGAAGGATAGTATATATTATAGCGTGCCCGTCTTCTGGAAGTCGCACATTATTTTGTTTTTAACAAGGTAATGAAAAGTTTAAATCATAATGTAGCCATTTTATGCTTTTAAAACGACCTGTCATATCCATGGTGGTTTATTAAGTACGGGTAACTCTAGTGTCGGCATAATAAGCCATAGACTGCATCACCGATATCATGTCTGTCTAAAGTTAGTTCCGCTTGAAAACAGACACGAAGCTAGTTGACCGACATTTTTATTCACAATTCGACGATTTTAGTCGAAACCACTAAACATACTTCGAGGATTCTGAGGACTTATTCTGCTTCCATTTAATCAAATTAAAAATGTTTATTTAGTCTTTGGGTATGAAAGATGTAAATCGGATTAGAACCGCATTACCAAATAGTATACTAATCTTTGACTATGGTGGCTACTAGGGACAGAGATCTATTCTCAAAATAGATAGTTCTCTGTGGGCAGAATGGGATATCATCTGATAGGCAAGAGCTGTGTCTCGAGGTCTACAGGAGTAGAAATATTTTACCAATTCCCCCCGCTATGATAATAAGATGGCTTCAAGATAAAACATCTTGGCGTATTACTCACCAAAGTTCAGATTATTTATGATTATTTATCTACCTCCTAGAAAGTGTGTTACAACATTAATATAATTTCTATCTTAATGTAAAGCCCTCGGTACAGTTTTAATACAGTCTAGCAGAATAATAACCTTGCTTCCAAAATTCTAATTGGATTGGAATTCTCGTTGTATCTCCCGGGGTTTATAAATTTCATTGCAGATAGTTGTCTGGCAGATGATTTCCAAATCTGGAAGTGATGTTAGCTGGCTATAAATCAACTAAATTGATCAAATTCTGCGGGGTCAACATGATCTTTAATTGAATAGTTTTTCTTTCCCTGACATTCAAATAATACATAGGACGTGCTGCTTTATATTAATTATGTGTGTGTAATGTAATTAGACTTCCTGTAGAGATGTAAGTACATGTAAGTAATTCAACAGTATAGCAAAAGTTGTTATCAAAATGCTCGGGGCAGAATTTACTGTTTTCCCCGGGAACATTAGATGGCCAACCCATTTATTTGAGATGTTCGTTTATGTATAGTCTAGATGTCAGAAAGTCGAAACCATTGCTGTTCCAATAATAGGCATGAACGTGACGTGACAAGGAATATGGTCGCCTGCCTAACCTCATGAGTTTTCTCCGAGTCCCTCCCACTAAAACCCACTATGCGAATTATTTAAATAAATATGCAATTTATGAACTAGTTTCTGTTGAGTGAGTTTTAAACAAACCTTGTAATCTGGCTTTCTGAAATTTAAGTCTCAGCCATTGCGGATTCAAGAATAGGATTTTGAATCCTAATAACTCCTGCCACCACGCGAAAGTAATGGCCTAGTTTGTGTTGAGTAGACGTTAAACCCTATGTCCTTGTATATACTCTTTCTATAACACGCCCAGCATCACTTATTTATCAGTTTTATATAAGCGTATGTTAATTGAAGTAACATGTTCTGGAAAGAGTAAAGCAATGTTTAGACGGTTAACAAACTGGTGAAGTATTTGTAAGGACAGCTGAATACAAAATGAACTATTTCACACAGTTGACTTAATCTGCAGACCCGAAATTTTAAATGAGGACAGATGCTCTTTTTTGAAAGCAAAATAACAAATCTAATATAATTAAGCCAACAATTTTATTGTTTACCCAATCAAACTGATCATGCCATCGAAGCAATTTGATATTTAGATGTGTATGAACACAAATTAACGTGTTTTAAAAATGCAGATGAAATGCAAAGATGATTCGACATGAGCTGTAATTGTATGCTGCTCCCCGTGGGCGTTTTTATGCAATGAAATTTTCTCACTTACTTACCCCCCCCCCCTCAACCCCGCCAATTCCTAAAAGGTATTGAACGGGTTGAAAGATATTTCTTAGATTCTAAATCAAATATGTTTTGGATAGTATGTATACTGGTGATTTTACGAAACCTACAAAGCAGGATAATCTTGATGCATATCTTATATAACAATATATAAAGATATAAAATTATTTTTATAATCCCATCACCACCCCATATAATTATTAGCCTACTAAAAGCTAACGAGACAATATATAATGCGTAATTTATTTACAGTTTATGGGATTATTATACAGCAAACTATATTGTTGTATATTAATATAAACTGTGATTCCTCATTAAGAGGTATTAGTATGAATTATTTTACAGCTTGTACTCAACCTCACTTCACCACATTATGCCACAACAAGACGTTGTTTTTCTCCACCGTTGATAATTAGCCGTGTAGCTTCAATCAGATCCTGAAAGTCGGTACCGGTGAAGAACCAAAGGGTTGTGCACCCAGAAGGTATATTGTACAGGTAATTTACACGTAATCGAATTTGTATCACATCTAGTAGCAATTCGGTTTTTGTTTTCTATCGTTTCATGTTCCATTATTTCTTTTGTCTAATCTATATTACATCTGACACTACGTGTTATGATGTCGAGTTATGTTATATGTAAAGAACCAAAGTAAATACCAATAGTTCACACAATCCCGTCGGACTCGGTAGCCGACATGACCTGGTTACTTACGAATTGGACCCGAATGACTGAGTAGGTCTACCGTTGTACTTGCAAAAATATAGAGATCCATGCATTTATTTTATAGCTAAAACGTAGAGTAAAAAGACAAATTCTACCACTCTGCACAGCTTAGTCGTCCGTGTTGTTTTCGCGATTTTCATTTTTTGAAATAATTTATATATTGAACCACGACATTCATTACAAGCCTTCAAAATTATCCATAGACCACTCTGAATTGTGATAGGTTTCATCTCTATGATTAATCAACAAGTTTGAAAATAGATGTCAAAACCTCTGATCTTTAGGGGAATTACACGAAATAGGACTGATCGATGGATAGAGGTGTCGACAAAAATAAAAATATAATCGCAATTAATCTGTGATACAAAAACTATTACCTAGCCTTGGAATAGTCATCATAACCCAATCTAATCTTGAGAAAATACAGGCAGGTTTATTCCCATTTATACTAGACCAAAAGATACATATCCGTTTCAAGTCAATGGATCAAGAAATCTAGAAAGATAAATATTTTTATTCCTAGCCCATCGCTTGAAATCGAAGAAACCCTTTAGAAACAGTTCGATTATTTGGACTCTGAGTGCGTTTAGCAGTTGCAATGTTCCGGCCATTTGACATTTTATTGTTGAGAGTAAAATAGCCGTTTAGTTACATTGATTCGTTAACCTCAGCTGTTGATATTTAATGCGTTATATCTCAATTGTCGTCATCGATCTAGAACTGTAATACCCAATCATACCATTCAGACTTATAAAGTGCTTAATTACTATGAAAGAAGAGATTAGTGGAGGAGATTGAGTGATATGTGTATTGGATTTGTATTTGATTAGTCATATAAATGTTAAGTATCGTGACTTGCCGGTTACTTGTACTAAAAGTTTCCTTAGACGAATGAAGCACATTTTACACATTTTACTCATTCACCACTCACCAGGGAGGCGACGTAAGTATACTGAGTTATTTGATAAAGTTAAAATATTTATTTTAGGGATCAGGTGGGTGTTGTTTCTGTTTATTGTTATAATATTTGTATTATACGATTCACACCACACCCTAATTCAATTCTACATTCACTCATTAAATGATTAACTTTTCTTATAAATATGCGTAGATACTAACATAAAGATATAGCACGTATATATACTTCATTCAAATTTCACAATGGTTAGCTTACTCATTCATAATTTGAATAACTCTTCGATGTGGAATAATAAAAAGCGCATCACACCGGCCTTTCTTTTGAATATATAATACTACT